CGACATACATACCGGAGTTACCCTAATATCATCATATACTATGTATGTACATATACATATGTATAGTTTGCGCGTGTGTGCGTATGTGTTTATATACCTATATCTATATAACATCACATATATTTGTATACAATGTATTAAATATAAGTACTTTTGTAAGATGTATATAAGTAAGCACAACAGAGCGAATACCGACATAGGAGTTATGTGGCTTAGTGGAAAAGTGGCAGCCTCGTAGAGCAGACTTAGAGACCAGGCCTTGATTCAAATCTCGACAGGAGTGGAGCTGGTTTTCTTGTGCTATCGATTAGGCCTTACTATAAATTACGTAATTTCGAGTAGCGAAAACGTGCAATGTGAGTGACGAGTGCTAAATAAGTATTTTGCACTCATATATGTTTTTCAAATTTACACAGCACGTATTTACCACTCAAAAATACTCGTAATGTATACGTTTTTACCACTTAGATATACTCGTGTCCTGTTTGAGTGCAATCCGTTTTAACCACTCATTTTTATGGAAAAGTTCTTGTTTGCGACCTAAAAACGGAGGATTATACTCATTGAGTAAAATGCACGTTTTTACCACTCAAATTAACCGTTCGTACGGGCTAAAAACGGGTTAAAAGCGGTGAAAAAATTGTATAAGGGAACATTGGCGAGTTTCGGCGATGAAATCGCACGTCTTTTGTAGCTGAGATATTACTGAAAGTAATTTAATCCTCACAGATTAGATTTGCCGACACCAAATAGATTTTCCAATCGAGTGAAAATAAACCGGGATAAGCTGTTTCTCCGACATGTGCTTCTTCACTACTTCAATCGTAAGAAAACCGCAGCTGAAACGCATCGTTTATTATATGAAATGTATGAAACTCCATCGGAAGGAACTCGTGTAGAGTTTGATTTATACGCTTTCGAAACGATGATTTTGACGTGAGAGGCAAAGAACGTCCCTTACTCTGCATTTGGTGGAACCAGGGGGGTTCGTTTTATCACGAGCTCTTACGTAATAAAATCCAAATGAAATCATCGTCTAAAT